AAGGAACGAAGCATGTAATATTAACATTACGAGTGATGAAACAATCTAAAATCCACAGACAGCGATTTTTTTCTTTTCAACTTGTTATTCCGCATGTTGTAATGCTGTTCCAATCCAATATAAATACATGGCGTAGGCACCTTTAAACTGAACAAAGCAGAACATTCGATCGTATGAAAATTAACTATTGCTGATGAAAACTGAATGTTTATTCGGTGATGAAGAAAGCAGAATATTCGCTTACACACCACGCCCGAATGCATGCAAGCTGAAGATTACAAAACGTGCCTCGGGAAAGGTCGTTCGACTAGCTTGTCACTGTTGATGTTTCATGGCAAAACATATTGAAGAACTAATTCTTTAGACAGTTTTCCTGATAAGGGAAGTATCCAAACTATTTCCCTACGGGCTTTCTCATTCTTAGTGGCTCCAATAGCGGAGGGGAGGGGGGGGGCAATATATATACTTTAAATTGTATACGTACCTAGGCACACTGTGTTTTCTGTTAAAATATTATTTTTATATAGACAAAACTTCTGCAAAAACATGAGTAGTCCTTTTTACAATTTTTTCTCAAATATTGATATAAACATATAGGATAAAATAGCTATAACAATATCATAGTTTTGGGCCCTTCTACTTCAAGAAGACAAGGTTTTTCTATCCTTATTTGCATTAAGGCCATTATCTTTATGCAAATATAGTTATGTTTTACAAGCAATATTCAAACCTCGAAGATACGAGCATGCATATAAACATTATTTGGATACTGTATAGATAGTCATCTTCCGAATAAACGAGTCTTTTCTCCGTGGAATATGTTGACCGTAAGTTTGCCAGCATGTAGCACGATGGGCCAGCCAATCCCCGGGGACATTACAAACGCATTACGTCTGTGCGGTTTACAATAACAGGCTGAAAAGGCGCCACTGCATAATACGTGATTTCTAATACAGTCTAACATGATTTGAATACACTAAAACCCCATCTGCAAAACCACGGGAGGTCATATCAATATTTTCTCCATCATAAGATCTGTCAATCTTTTTTGATACATGTGATATTTTGAAAGGTTTAATTTTGGCGGCTTATGTTACCCATTGAATTAAATATCAAAATAGTAAGTTAAATATTCAGTGACAGAAGTTTGCAGAGATCTAGAAATAATTGCCACCTCATGTAATGCAAACAGATTTTGTTTTTGATACAAATTGGCAATATTGGCTGGTCCCTAATATAATCCAGCTGTAAGGGTGTCGGATGGAGGTTTCATGAATATGATCATTTACCGCTTGATAGTATGAGTGAATGAAAAGTAATTCTAGCTCATCTATTGTGAGGGTGTGGTTTTCACAAATCTATGAGAAAATATTTGATACATGATAATTGAAGAGCATATTGGAGTCTCTGCATTTATTTCGTTGTCATTTTTTGGAGAAAATGCTGCATTCGCAGTTGCCTCCAGTCCTTTGTGCTTGAACGAGACCCCTGCGGGACCATTTCAATGCTTGATGACCCGTTACCGTAATCGAAAACGAACGTGCGTAAATATATTCCGTCTGAGATCACCTCACCAGATAGTCTCAGTACTGCACCGATTACCATTCATTCCCAGTTTTCACTTAATTCATACCAAATAGATAGCTAGAATTGGCAGCGAAAACCGTCATTATGACTGCCCTGTAACGCTAAGGTACAGTTTTATTTCAAAACATGAATGTATAATAAATAATGTACTCGGAAAGAAAAGGGCATGTTCGATCTAATTTAGGCAAACGTCATACAATGTTTCATACTCTTGCACATGGGAGTATCGATTCGGTGTGGCCCTTGCAAGACAAATTGAGTCTGCGTACATCAGACAAACTGTCACGGAAGATTAATAGTATTAGAGGTGCAACGTTGAATCACAGACGTCGGGACGCCCGCCGACTGGGCTTTATTGTGTTGCTAATGTAAAATAGGATTTATTACATGTACATGTACATGCGGATTCTAGTTCAAGTGAACAGATGATGTGGGGAGGGGGGCGGCAGAAACGTTTAGAACAACTGACATTTCTAAAATTGAAAGGAAACAAATTGTCCTTTTTTCTAAAGAATTGCTGTTTTTTTTTAATAAAGTAGTCTTGATATTGTTTATATAATGTATTATACAGTTTTTATTTTTACTTGGAAGAAATTCATGAGAACTACTTTTTTACAGCGATGTAGCAATTAAGGCCTTAAAGGCTACACAAAAATCGATATGCACGGAAAACTCGAGACCTGATACATGGACTTTGTATTGTACTATTGACCCAAAAGGAGTCATTGTCGAGGTGGGGAGGGGGCCGGGCAAGGAATATTGAAAACACCCCCCCCCCAGTTGAATATGGTAAAAGTTTTTTGCTCAAGAAGGTCTATAATGAAAGGTTGACCCTGAGCTATCAAACCACGAGACATGTGATGCATGCAACCTACTTAGCCAGTCTAGTGTATCATCAATCAACGCGGTGCACTTGTTCTGTGTTATTCTATCGTCTGAAGGGGTGGGAGGGGGGCACGCTAAGACGTGTATTTGGAACAGGTGGTCCCGCAATGCCTTGATCTCTCTGATGTGGCACGCACGGGTTTTTCGGTCACATCTGCACAAACCTTGCAGCAAATTGTGAGAGGAATTAAAGGCAGGAAGCGGCCAGGCTCTTTGACAGAACGCAGACTGTGTGGAAAGGGATTTTTCAGACGACATTTTGAGCTAAATCGTGACAGAAATAACAGTTATGTGTACAACCAATGATAACGTTATTTTGTGTGAGTGTGGGACGATATTTCAGCCAAATCCTCCCCATTTCAAGTTTATTCACAGATGTCTTGAAGAATCCAACACATACAATGTAGCTTGAACCACATGCGGTGGTCTAGGACGTGCCTGGAATAGGGCGCGCGCAAACAACCATGATCCCACCCAACACCCGACTAGACATCATTTGCAGGAAGGGCAAACCTAATCGACAGGGTTTACGTGGGCGTTCCATCAACAGCGTTCTACCCTCTAGGAAATAACGCTTAAGTTTTACATATATAACAGTTTTTGTGGTCCTAGAATTGCAGAGAGCGATTATTTTGGATTATAATGACATTGAACAGCTGGGTTTCTTTCAATGCCTTGCTCGGCTTATTTGCGTGCCTTTTTATAAACGTCACCTAAGCGAAAAATCGTTGAAATTGAAGTGATGAATGAGAAGGGAAAAGAGGTTGGCCTGTGGCATACAGATTCGCCGTGAGGGTCCTCCAAACCAGGACGCCAACAACGAATGGCTTTGTCTGAACAACAGGGGCGCGAAATATGATTACTACTCAATTATTATTCAGTGGAAATCGCCTCCTCCCCCTAGTCACGTATTGAGGCCCTTTATTTGCCTACTCGAGGGGGCATTGCATTATACTCAACGCAATGAGTAGGAATGTGTGGAATTTCCATTTATGATATCGTAATGAAAGTGGTGGTGTATGGAATTATGCTGTGGTGGTATTAGGGTGTCAAGGAAAATCTTATGAATTATTCAAATTTAATTTTACAAGCAGAATACTGCAAACAATAGGGAGAGAGCTGAAAGTGGCCCTGGATTTGCAGAAGGGGAGAGTCGTTTGTGTATTTGTGGCAGGGGTTGGTCTTTTTTCCATGTGTGTGTGTATGCGTATGTGTGTCACGGTTTGTTTGTATGTGCGTGTGTGTATGTGTATGTGTATGTGCATGTGTGTGTGTGTGTGTGTGTGTGTGTGTGTGTGTGTGTGTGTGTGTGTGTGTGTGTGTGTGTGTGTGTGTGTGTGTGTGTGTGTGTGTGTGTGTACATTTGTGTGTGTGTGCGTGAGAGAGAGAGAGAGAATGTGTGTGCACATGTCTTTACGTATGTGTATGCGCGTACTAGTATGTTTGTTTATGTATGTGTGTACCCCTGCATGCCAGTGTAAGATAAAAACATTTGAGTCCCCAAATGACACCCCCACCCCCATGCGAAGTACATTGACATATGCACACGCATGCCCTAGGCGATGAAAGTGAGTTGCTTCCATTTTTCTTATCAGATGATGCATGGTTAATCCTACCGAGGCACTTTCTCTCCTTTTGTGTGCTCTCTCCCGTCTTATCTAGGAAATATTCCGAAGCATGACAATATGCTTAAAGTAGAGGTTTAGGCCTTGGGTTTTTGACGTGTTTTATGCGTTTTATCGGGATTGACTTTTTTTTCTTTTTGTACTAGTAGCTTTTTTTGCCAGCCATTTGGATATATCCATGCCAATGCAAAAGCAGTCAGCAAAAGATATGCTTGGAGATTAGCGTTGCAAATCCTAATCGCCCCCCTCCCCCTCCCACTTAAAAGCCACCAGGTCCCATGCTCCATCATTTTGAAAGATCCTTCCCTCATATATACAGGAAAATCGCTACCGTGACTCAATAATCAGGAAAGCGCAGCAGACGCCAACGCTATTGATGACATAGGTATTTCTTCTTCACCCCCTAGATGAGGATACTATTACAATTACAGAACGCTACCACTAATTGCACTAAATTTATCAGTTAAACCTCAGAGAATTACAAAAAATCCGCGGCAGCACTGATAAAAACGTAATTAGAGACCGTTCTTGCATTATGGAAAACGATGGCATTCTATGACAATTCTACGTGTGCATTTTTTACCCAAGCGAAGTCCATGCTTTATTTTTACAACGTTGTGACTGCGTGAGTTATTGTGACACCATTGACATATAAACAGGTCCTATTGTAACGCCGCGAGCTTTAAAGTTCGCGATTCAAAGCAAGAAAAAATTCCGAAAAATTTCCCAAAAATGAGTGAAAGTATGTTACAGACATACCAATGAGAAAGTCACGTAGCCACAAAATATATTTGCAAAGTGTGTCAGTGTGATATCGGTTATTATATAGGAAGGAAGGAAGGTCTATGGATGTGTGTGACAAGAGATGCCAACAAAGATGGCGGAATGCCAAGTTCATCTTACCTTGTCTAACAGAGACGAGTCGTCCGTTGTTGGCGACGAAGACCGCTTGAGGATGACTGTCCTCTAGGACAAAGAGTTCGTCCTTCCCCGGTTTGTTGTTGCGTGTCATCATCGTGGCCGTTCCCCCCACCGCCGTCAGGTACTTGCCCATGCGGTCCTTCAGGGCGATCTTCCCCGAGCGAAACTCCAGGGTGAAGTCGGTGTCATCGCTGGAATCGTCCACCAGACGCCCGTCGCGGTGGAGATATTTATTGTTGCACGTTTTGATGGCGTACTTTCCGTTTCTGAACTCTAAGGTGATTAGGGCGTCGTCTCCCCAGGGGTGGTTCATGTCGACGCGAAGCTCTTCGTCCTCCTCGCTCCAGCGTGCGTACCGCTTGCGGTTGACGTTTTTCAGGTTGACCTGGGGGTGCATGGCGAGGTGCACGGTCCACAGTTCCTCCTTGCCGACCATCTTGCTGAAGCAGCGCATGTTCTCGCCGTTACCGCTCAGGTACAGGCCGTGCGCCATGCTCCGAAACGCCCAGCGGCCATCCTCGTACGGCTCGATCAGGAACTTCTCTTCCTTCCCCGGCTCCTCGGCGTCACACGACACGTTCCCGTGGCGGTCCGACGTCAGGAAGCGGTCCAGGTGAGACCGAAGGTACACCGACTCCCCCTCGGGGTCCTGCTCGATGATCCAGGTTTGCTTTCTCTTCAGACTGTTGCCCGTGACGTTGACCTTGTTGCCGAAGATCTCAGCGGTCAGGTACTTGTTCTTGTAGTTGATCAGGCCGAGAGAGAGCTTGAGGATATCGGCGTTCACCCCGTTGGTAGACATGTTTACAGTACGTCGCTTGCAACCTGACTAACGCTCTGAACTACTACTAAGTACGAGACCGGGTGTAGGGCGTTTTCTTCACTGCCGCCGCCGGATGGGCTCACAGTCCAACGGTTGGTTACACAGCCGCACGCCACACGCGTTTGCTTGTGGGTCACAGAGCCTCTCCCTGTACACGGTTTATCCGCCGCGCACAACACACGCAGCGAGCTCACCGATCGATACGTCAAACAGTCGCTCACCCACCGAATTACACTTCAGCGCAAAAATGTAGCACCGGCCAGCGTCCCCCGTACGTACCTAAACACAATCCGTCACTCACTGAATTCGTCAACAAGAGCGAAGGAAATCCAACCCTACTCTGGCGAAACCGATCTTGCGGGCTATAGAAGCACCCCTAATACTGAATCGAGCGTGCAAACACTGAAACAAGTCCTACCTAGGCCTCTACACAACCACACAATACACCGTTTCTCTCCTTACCAGCACAGAACAAGAGCTATTTACCAAACGAGTGCAAGGCGCTACGCTCTGAATTCACCCTCCAAGAGACAGCACCAACCCACGCTTATCTGCCTGCATGGACCTTGCTTTGACAAACTGACAATAGAGCGCGGGACGGTACTGTAACTTCCGATATTTTCGCGCATACCGAAAACAAAGGGAAATTTTTGCGGGCGACAATGAGTAATCCTTCTCATAATAAGGGAGGAATGCAGGCGTGAGGAAACGGCGTGTATCCATCCGCAGATACATTCACACGAATAAAGATTATTCACCTGCGTGAGACATCTTTTTAGAAACGGTTTTCTGCAAAGAATTATACAATCTACGTCACTTAATTGTGACCAATGAGGCGTAAGGAATTTTTAGCGCAGGTAATCGTCTCGCCGCATAAAACATGAGTAATATTCTCTCACCATCCAGCCGGGATGGTCTCAAAATGTATGAATGCAAATACATGACATTTGTATGCAGCAGAAGTCGCTAGCGTCCATTTGCGTCCATCGGCAACGATTACTTGGCGTGGCAGGACTGACATATGCGGACGCAAACATATTTTCCCCACGTATACATCTGCTTGAATATTTTCTTCACCAAAAATGTTATCTTTCCTAAGCGAATTAACGTACAAAATATGAATTTAAGAAATTGGATGATTTAAGTACTAAAGATACAGTACAACATTATTCTGCACTTTGTAATGTATGCGCATTTTTGTTGTAAATGATATGGCATACTAAACCGCTAAGGGGATAGTTTTGTTTGTGTTTCTGATATGATTTGAAACTATCCCGATGGCTGTTAATGCTTATCAACTATGATAGTGCTGACTTCGGAGTGTGAGGTAAGGGGGGGGGGAGGAACAGTAATTCAAAACCCGACAATTTTCCTCTTTCCTCTTCCGCGAGTAGATCCAGACAAAATATCATCAGAAAGTACTTTATTCTGGTTTTGTCATCGTTTCTTTAACGAGTTTCCGTCTGTGTGTTGAGGCAGGTTGGATCGAAGTTCCGCCGTTTTTCCTCTGTCAACATCCGAAGGAAGTTGAGGTCTTATCTTGTGTGTACCAAATCTCGCAGGAAGCACGTCCTGATTATTATCGCGAGACTTCGTGAGCCGGAAGTGATAATGCACGAGACTGTGGTTTGATATCACACATGTAATGTAAATTATCATGTCCTTTGGGTTTTTTTTGCATCCTTAAAGTTTTCTCTGTTTGAAACACCATAGTCCGTAGGATAAGTTCATTTATGAAGATCCTCCAACATTACTAATTTCATGCATTTTGTTACTCACTTTCAAGACGTTAGACTTAAGAAAGAAAATGTTATCGTGACAGCTACCTTCAGCCTTTCAGCTGTCAAAGACCAGATTAGTCGGTGATTATGTGGTATTTCTAACGTTAATTACGGTACGCGAGTTAGGAATGTCCAGCTAAATTTCATCTGTCATGCATGGCAGAGGGAAGAAGGCACAGCCAAGATATTTCAATACTCAACTAAAATCAGCACAAAATATTTTCGTTAAGCTAGTTCTTTAAATAAAACGGCAAAAATATCTCCCAATATCTCCCAATGTCCTATTTAATTCATAGATTTTTTTTCTCCCAAAATTGTGACTACCAGCCTTCTATTTTGAAATCGTAAGGGGGGTGGTGACTTTCTATCAGTATAATGGCGCAACACATAAAAATGAAAAGCAATCGTAGTGAATGGATGAAGGTGAATGGGGGGGGGGGTATGGAAAGTATATTGACCCGCCTAATCTCTGTTCACCTAATGGAATAGCCCTTGATACACCCCTTGGGGCTTGGATTAGGTACTTTTCAAAGGGGTAGGAGGACGAAAGACACATCAACGTCTCAAGTATATCTCCTCCCACTAAATTATTGCCAAAGGCACTGTGGAGGGATAATACCCCAACCCCTTATCCCGATTGCATTGTGGGGACTGTACATTATTGTTTGAAGGGGGATGATGATATTTGGCAATGTACAATCTGGGACATTTTAGCGACGTGAATTCATAATAATGTGAAGACAAGACAATGAAAACATAAATACGAGAAAGGGGAGGGGTGTCAACTAACTACAGCATATAAAGAACTGACCACTTTTGTCTTTCTCGTCCTTAACTATGTTAATGTTTGCATCCTTTTCTTCTTTTGTGTTCCCAATTTGGATAAGGATGTCTTTTTTCCTTTCTATTCTTTTAGATAACGTTGTTAGTTCGTGGTCAATTCTGTAGATAACCTGAATAGAGAAACTTGGAAGTAACGACCTTTCAAGGTCACTGTCAGTAACATGAACAAGGTGTCTTGCTTTTTACTTGCAATTGGGTGCAAAAGCTTCCTCCACAGTCTGTGACATGGCTTCGTTTTTGATTTCCAAATATTTGTGACATTTCCCTTTTATTTCAGTCACCTGCACCTAAATAAAGACCGCGTTACACATACTACATTAACGCATTTTATTGCTGGAAATATAACAGTATCATTTTCCTATCCCGCTCCTTACATCTAAGCCAAAACAGTTTCTATTCCATTAAATCGTTTTTGACAGATTACTCCTTTCTCTTTTAAGTTGCGCCGAAAGGGAAACGTTACCTGGATACGGTAATCCGGGTAATGTACGTTAGAAGGGGGCGCACTACCTACGCCAGGAAAGGCCGCGACCCTCATGTTTAAACAGCGGCGTTTTGGAGAGAGTCGGACAAGTTTAGACTCTTTACACGCCTCACAATACGCGTATTTCACTCCACACACCCACCCGCCATTGACTCATTGAGTACTGTTTGTGTGTGCGTAGTAAGGTTAGACAAGTAGTCTGCTGTTCGTGACACACGTAAGCACTTGGCTTGTGTAAAGGAAGCCACAAAATAAGGTCGACTTCAAACATTGAAAGTGTGGGAGGGGGGCATTACTCGAATGTGTTTTAAATTACTAGTGATGTATATTTGATGCTCCCGATACTTGGGATTCATTCATGGGATGTTTTAAACGCATTTTCTTTCAAATATTAAACAATAAAATGGGTACTTGACGCAAAATTGTTATTCAACTGAAGAATTAAAATAGAGTTTCAGTATCTTCAAATGTACGATGAAAGCGAGAGAAATCTGCATTTTACATGAATGGATTATGGATTGAATGAATGAATTAATGCATGAATAGATGAATGAATGAAAGGATGGATAGATAGATAAATGAACGTCATTTGTACGAGAACACTACAAAATCGATTAGAAATTTAGAACCAAGTTATTAAGTAGAATACGATGATTTTGACCTTACAAAATAATGAAGTCCTATAAAAACCGCTCTGTTCGGTGCTAATAGACTGACATCAGCCCGGAAGTGGTCAGTGCGGTCACTGATGAGACATGTGAGATCACTTGAGCCTAACATCAAATACCCACAGCCTGACTACACGTAGTGAAGAGACCCAGGGGTCAGATGAGGTCATCCACCAAAGTCTGTCCACACAACAACCATTACTGCTGCCTTTAGTATTCACTTTCCATCTACAGTACTAAGATAGAAGAAACCAAATAAGATAAAGATAAATAGTTTATTCAACATTCTATGATCTTTCTTTTTCAAATTTCTAACACTTTTTGCTTTATATGATATCATGATACACATTCATTTAACGTTACTTTGGTTATGGATAAGATAAGTTGCAGTCTTTACATTGAAGTTTTAATATCATGCTTATGCAAAGAGCTTATATCATACACTATAGTATATCGCATTCTCGCTAAAAATCTAACGTTATGTACATATTTTTGGCGGTAGTAAAATGTTAATTTGAATAGTTGTCAATACTGCTGCATTTTGTCATCATTTCCTTCAATCAGACGATGTATTTCATTGCCCATATAAGGCTTGAAGGAAAAAAAATCCATTGCCAACACTGACCGGTGATCTCAGAAAAATTGTCGTCTGGGAATGACGTCACCAGGCGATCTCTGAAGTTGCCAATTTTACACCGTGTGAGTCATGTTTAGTCAGGGGTGTTCACATCCGTGCACAACATGTCTCCAACCTCAGAGTTTCCTCCTGTGACCTGACACGATAAGAAGTATGCCATATATGCAAGGCTAAAATGCTATCTATGCAAATGATTAAATCCTACACCATTCCTAGGATCCTGAAGTGATTGTGAATTCAGTTCCCCTTTTCCCGCCAACGCATGTGCTGTAGCATTGACTAAATGCATGACTGTTGACTGATAGTGACTCATAAGGATTTTAACTCTTCTCAAAAATCGTGCATTCATGTAGAAAATATAATTTACGAATTCGAGTATAGAAGTTAGCTTTACTTGTCCGAGGAAAGAAATTAAAATGCAACACTCTTTTGAACCCATTTGGCTGGCTATTTTTCTTGAAAGAACACTTTTCACTCAAAAGATTTTGTACATTTTTTTCAAGCTTGGTATAGACTATGTACTGCACTGCTATTTTAAAATAGGCAGCAAACTGTGTGTAGTTTTTCCTCATTACTTTTTTCTAACAAGGCCTTCTGACAATATAAGAACTTAATTGAACGACAATATTAATTGTACATGTGTAGCAGATAAAATGTTTTAAGCAAAGTTATGCTACATCCCTGATATATTTAACGGTTTGTCCCTACAACAGGTTGGCTTTGCGGTGATTAAGGATGTTGTCTGGTGAGCTCATTTACTAAAACTCCGTGTAACACGAAACTTTCGGGACCTTGCAAAGTAAACTCGGAACAGCCACGACGGAGACCAGCTGTTTCCGGCCAGATGGTTCGTATTTCCGGTAGGAAGGACTGTAGACTTTTGGATAAAGGAATATCCGTGTGTGTCATGTCTGTTTGTAACGGGTTTCAGGTTCAATGTCGGGACACTTTTGGTTCCATATATAGCATTCTATTTATTGATATCATCTGTAAGAATACAATACACAATATTAGTTGACATATTACTTAAGTAACTTTTAAGTACGTTGTACTGATACAAGTTCCACTGGGGGACAATTGGCCTTAGGCCAAATAATACAATTTTACACAATAAGTGGGATTGGAGTCAACATCTACGTTAGGTATCTGTGTGTTAAACATTAAAAAAAGATTGTTACTTAGTAAGTGACAAGGTACACACGCACACAAAATACCATGCACACAAAACGTAATAGCGTCAGTAAGAGGGGTATTCAATTACTTGTAAAATGATTGCATTTAATTCATTAACTCACAAAGAAGTTCCTATTCTTTCTATTTTCTCTGCCCCCTTCCCCCTCTATCAAACATGACTGTCAACAGGTGTTACAAAAGCGGTGCCTAGCGGCAGGAGAGTTAAACGCACCCACAATTTAATGCCCCCCAAATGTCAATCATAATACAAAGCAGCACAAGAAGAATATATTAAAAGTAGTCGTGATTGGACCGTAAAACAGCTCTGACACTGTGAGGAACAGAAATAGATTTAGTATAGGAATAGCGGATGTCATGACAAGTTACAGGAATGATACATGACACTTATGACACCTGTTAGACACAAAAAATATCGAAGAAAGTTTTCTGTAATGATAAACTGGCGAGATAACTGTGGTCAAAACATCCCATGAGAAAAGAAAACAAATGCCATTAAATATGAGGTTGCAAGAAGTCTAAAAGCGGATGCTTTACATTTGTTGTTACCCATGAAAAATTACCATCATTTTGATGCTCTCGCCAAGGTAACTTTGGTAACCTTTGACCTTCCAAGATGGCGGCGGTGGTGGTGTTTTTCGTCTGCCTGGCTATTTTCTTCGCTTTTACCGTTTCTGTGGTCCTGTCATGGGGTCTGTTAGCTGTCCTACCGCTCCTGCTGTCAGTTCTGACCGCGTTGCTGCTCTACAGACGGAGCCCGGCCGGTAAACGCGTGTCTGTGCTCGTGTTAGGAGACATCGGCCGGAGTCCACGCATGCAGTATCACGCCATCTCACTGGCGAAGGAGGGCTTCGACGTGGATCTAGTTGGGTTTTCTGGTTGGTTGTAGCTTGTTGCCTTACTTTAAAGAACATGAAAGAACCATGTTCCAGTTTTACCGTATGTTCATTTCATTTGTGAGGGGGAAAGCCCTCCTCAATCCTCAAGGCTGAAAGTCATTTTACTGATGCAATCTTTGATAACAGATTGCCTACGTACTAGCCTGGTTACCACTCTATTAAATTAATAATTTGCAATTGGCAGGCTTAGGGGTATCATACCTTCTCCAGTCCTATTGAGTGAGTGAGTGAGTGAGTGAGTGAGTGAGTGAGTGAGTGAGTGAGTGAGTGAGTGAGTGAGTGAGTGAGTGAGTGAGTGAGTGAGTGAGTGAGTGAGTGAGTGAGTGAGTGAGTGAGAGTGAACATTCCCTAAAATTTAAAGATGATAGACTCTTCATGTCATCCATAATATTTTACTCATCCCCAATGTATATCAAGAGGGCATAAATAACTTGTGGTACTCACTGTAATATTAATGAATCATCTTCTTGTCTGTTGTCATTTTTTAGGTTCCAAGCCCCACCAGGGTGTACTGAATAACAAGAGGATCTCTCAGCACTTTCTACCTGAACCACCAACATTCCCCAAAGGTGGCCACATCCCACATTTCCATACATGAAGATTCTGAATTAATCCTATTGTCTCTCTTATTGGTCATACACTTCCAGAGTACATTTACCTAGCTTAGACATACATGTGGTCTATCACAATATCTAGAGAATAAGATTCCATAAATAACTCTTCCAGTAATGACAAATCTGTGGTGGTCTTAAGGTATCTGTGAGAACTACTACTACTAGCTGTAGGAGAGTTATGCTAGTTTGCAATCCATGTAGTTGGAGGGGTTGGTCATGATATTTTCTGACTGCATGGTTTCAAATTCAATGTAACACTAACTAACAGACCCTCCTAACAAATAAATACTAACTTAAGACGAAATGTGTATTACAGAGACAAGTGTTTTATACTAAATCTGGCTGTTCTTCAGTTGTCCCCAGGTTCCTACACTATATCCTCAAAGCTGTGTTCCAGTCTGTACAACTGCTGGCAGTTTTACTGGTCCAGACAGAGAAACCAGCTTACCTATTAGTTCAGGTAGCTTGACTCGAGTTTCTTGCACAGTTGTATTACAATCTCCAAGTACTAGTAGATCTTTTATTAGCGCTTGGGGGTTACCCAAGACAGTATCCATCCAATAGTTATAGTAGTATCCAAAATGCAGTTGCCCTGTTGAACAACACTATGATTTTACATGTACATGTATTTAATTCCATGTCAGCACACTTGTTTGGCTTTGAAAGAAAAGTAAAATGATGGGAGACAGATATTAAAAAGCCTACTTTGGAAATAAGATGCATGTAGCTGTGCATCACCCACTCTACATTTGCAGTTTATTTCCCAAAAGGTTCAGTCCTCAAGCACATTTGTAATTGTAGTTAATGCTCATTATTATAAGGATCAATTTCAAATGTTACTTAAATGTTACCCTATCTTTTCTTTCCCATTAGAACCCCCCTGCTATCCCCACCCTGGCTATAGCCTGGCTGGTGTGTCTGTTGAGAGGCACCAGGTTCCTGATAGACTGGCACAACTATGGCTACACCATCCTGGGGCTGGCTCTGAGTCCCAAACACCCCCTCCTCATGTTCTCCAAATGGTATGTTCCACATATTTTAGGTTGTTGGGTTGTATGGGTTTATGCAAGGAGGTTAAATACAATGTATTATTGTTATATTATTGGATCATTATTGTTATGAAATGTGCTACAATTACAGTAAGTTTTGTATCATCTTTTTTCGTACGAGGTATGAGGGCTTCTTTGGAACTCTGTCCTCTGGAAACTTGTGTGTCACAAATGCAATGAAGAAGGACCTACTTGCCAAGTGGGGAATCAGGTAAAGAACAATACTAGTAGTGATCATTATAATCTTCAGAAAGTATTATAGATAATATAACTATGCAGTTTATTGTGAAGGTATTCAGCCTGATCAATATCATTTATTCTTTGGTGTATTCTTTGGTGTATGTGTGGGCAAAATATAAATGTGTTGAATTTTGGTAACCTTTACCAATATTTTTAAATCAACTTTCAGAGCTGTCACCATGTATGACAGGCCTCCGCTCATCTTCAGGTCATTTGAAACTGAGGAACAACATGAGGTATGGACCTTTCTTCATTTGTAGTCATTCATCCATCCATCCATCCATCCATCCATCCATCCATTCATTCATTCATTCATTCATGCATTTCTAAAAAAAATCTTCAATGGATTGACATAGTGTAGTGTCATACGTGGAAGACATTATGTAAGATGAATATTGACCATTTCTTTGATTACAGTTGTTCTGTAGGCTGAGAAAGGAATACCCAGTTTTTGGCTCCAGGTAACTAAAACAACACATTCTTTGTTGAGTCCTAATTCAAGTTCAAGTGTAACTACCTTCTTGATCATTCATATGTAGTAATAGTACATTAGACATAGTCTTTTGAGACTCTCTGGCAGGAAGACAGGAGATAGTACATTATATTTCTAATTCTGTAACACTTCTTTAGTGTTTATGTAAAATTCATAGTTGATACACATGTTATAAAAATGCAAGATATGTTAAAATGCTATATTGTAATGTCAGCTGTACTGGTCTTCTGCAATTACATTCTCATTTTGATCTCTACAAAACAATCATCAATTCAATCAATAGTATCACCAATTCTGCCAAATCCTAGTCTTAATATCCTCCATTCTGTAAGCATAAATCAAGCAATTTTGTTATTGCTAACCATAATATGCCTAATGTAGTAGAGACTAGGAAAAAACTTTATACCAATTTCCATTCTTTTATTACTGTAATAAACTTTAGATCAGGAGAAGCAGACAGTAAGAGGACAGCTTTCACTGAAGAGACAGAAGATGGGACTGTTAGACAGATAGCAGACAGACCTGCACTGTTGGTCAGCAGTACCAGTTGGACAGGTAGGGAACATCGTTTTCTTATCTTTACCAGGTCCAGGAGTATCGTTTTGGGTAAATGACTTTTAAGTTTTATGGTTTAAAGTCTAAATAGCGATGGTTGCTTGGGGGATGGTAGGTGATTTTGACAGTTGATTGCTAGGGACTCCTGTCAAGCCTGAAGGTGACACAGCACATGCTGAATGAGAGTAAGAGGGTGGTACATGTATTATGATGAATTCAGAAAGTGGTGTAATACATCTCCAGAGCACTGTTTCTAGCTGAAGAATTTGTATATGTATAGTTCATGTTATACACTGTGGTTTTGATTCTTACAGGTATATTTTGTCTCCTCGTTTTCAAAAATATTGAGTCTATTGCTTTTTTTTTTCATTTTTCTAGAGGATGAGGATTTCTCAATTCTTCTGAATGCACTGGAAGGTAAGAATGGAAATCGGTTCCTCAGAGAATGCATTGGCTTTCTAGCGCTCTCTAGCAGTCAACTGAAAAACTGCAGCTTCTGCCCATACTGCAGGTTACAAGGATACTAGCACACTGTATTGTAAAAATGCTATAAAACAACTATTGTACATGTAGCTTCTTCTAAGTGCTTTCTACTACACACTTACAGTTGTTTTCTCAGAAACTGTATCAGATATTTCAACACTTCTTTATGACAAAAATGAATAAACAAGTTGTTTATTTTCCACAGTTTATGAGAAATCAGCAGCTGAAAAGGGATGTCAACTGCCAGACCTGATATGTGCCATCACAGGTAACTAAAATACAATTTTTCACATAATGTTTGTTTAACAAATGTCAGAAGTGTCAACCATATACATGTACATGTAGGTAATTTTGTAAATGTAGAATTTATAGTATCAGTTAGTAAAATCATTGTGTAAACTGTTATCTGAAATTTACAAAGAATCATCAGATGCTATCATATTTAAGTAGGATTCCTTATCACTACAATTTACTGATAAGATAATAGCAATGAAAATAAATTAAGAAGATACAGTAAAGATGTTCTTGACATGTCCTCTAGGAAAGGGGCCTCAGAAGGAGTACTACCAAGGACTGATAGCCAAGAAGAAGTTCCAGCATGTCCAGATCTGTACTCCATGGCTGGCAGCTGAGGACTACCCGAAACTCTTAGGTAAGAAACACAACACAAAAAGGTTTATCTGCACCACTAATCCAGTAGACTAGGCCTACTTATGAAAGTGATTGATATTTTTTTGGTGTTATCTATAACCTGCTAATTGATGGTTTGTATTGCCTTAACTTATTAACCAGTGGTTTATTGACCCACAGGTTCAGCAGACCTAGGTGTTTGCCTGCACTACTCCTCCAGTGGGCTGGACCTGCCTATGAAAGTGGTGGACATGTTTGGGTGCGGCCTGCCTGTCTGTGCCATTCACTTCAACTGGTAGGTTTTGGCAACACCTCAGGAGCAGTGCCTTATTTTCTTCAGCATTCTCCATACTATTGAACTTATTATTCTGCAGTTTGGTGTGTCTTCACATTTGTCTCCAATGGAAAATTTTTGTAGTATATCAATGTATTTTTTTCTACCAGAATATTACAACTTTTCATCTGTGTGCTATACAAGTATTTATCTAATGTTTATCAATACACATGTACTCTATTATCATTGCTTGAAACAAATTTAGATGAAAATGGGAACATTTTTTGTTTGTATTCTTCCTTCTCAGCTTGCATGAGCTTGTGAAACATGAGGAGAATGGACTTGTGTTCCACAATGAAGAGCAATTGGCAAAGCAGATACAGGTATATTTTATGGATTGTCATTTGCAATATACAAACTTAATATGATTCTGAAATTAAGAATCTTTGTGCTATCCATTTGCTTGGTATATGTATGGTTACTTGCATAATATACAAATAATGCTTTTAAAGGGATAGCTGATAAAACTAATTTTTAACAAGTTGATTTATCTTAAAGTCTGATTCATGAAAATGTAATTTCTACCAAAGTTATTAACCCTCATACATATGATTTAATCCAAATCTCGCCTTGTTATTAGGATCTACTTGATGGATTTCCTGTGACCCAAGGCAAGTTGAAGACATTCCGAGACAACCTTCAGTCATTCCAGAGTCTAAGATGGGACCAGTGTTGGAAAGACAACGTCCTTCCACTTCTTAAACATTGACATCATCAGTCTCATCTTTAATGAAAACCCTGAAAAAATACACTGTATGATTCATTTTTTGTTCCTGCTATTCCTAGATTGCTTCTTGCTTGTTTGTACCACTTGTTTACAATTTCATGTATGTCATGAATGTTGACATGTTGTTTGTCATCAATCATAAAAAGGCCCCAGAATTGTAATGTAAGGACATTGTCAATGAAGGTTAGACATCCACAGGTAGACTATGTAATGCAATGTAATACATAATTTATTATTAGTCTATATGTATTTAATACATACTACATTTTGTAGTAGTCTTTGCCAGACATCCACTGCTTGACTATGTATAGTCTCTATGTGTGTAACACTCTGGTGACTGAATACTTAGTAGTGTTCAAGCACTAATGGGGATCAAAATAAAAACAAACAAACAAACACTCTGGTGTCACTGTGTGCCAGACCCAGGAGTTTAGTCTATAACCTCCGTGGCTATACCATGGCTAGACTAACGACCTGGGTTCAAAAACAGTCAAATTTAGCCAAATATGGGGAAGAATGAGGGAAGCATAGTTTGGCAACTTCATTTGGTTGTGATGAAATGAAGCCCTAAAGCTGGACCCACTCCCCTGTCCAGTTGGACCCTATTTTGGACCCCTTAGGAAGGGATGGTGGAGGCTTCGTAATACATTTAATGATATCATTGTTTAATTATATGTCACCACTTACTGGTATTCTAAAGAAAGCAGTGTTTGCAAAATAAAATACATTGTAATCACTGATTGTTAAAAAATTGGATGTCTTTAAGTACACACAAATGTAATGTCCAGGTACTCAGGTTTGCTGCTTCAGTTTTTTGCCTCCACTTGTATTAATCACATAACATATATTTATAGTTCATGAAATGCTAGTTCATGAAATTACAATCATCTAAAATAGGAGACAAAAATGCTAATAAGTTTGAAACACACATTAAATGGATACCGGTTCAAACTACTTATATCACAAGACAGTGTAACACTAACAGTACAATTTTGGCATGCAAGCCTTAAGATGGTAAAGATAAACATTTGTGGCAAAGTTGCAGGTCGTTTTTGTGTACAAGATTATCATGAAAATCCATGGCTGCTTTTCTCAGATAAAAAGAAGAATTATTATTACATTCCTTGTTGGTCTGTCATTATTTATATGGTCCTATGGGAGATTTTCAAACATGTAAATAATGGACAAAAAGCTTGATCTGCTTTTTCCACCGCAGGGACTGGATGGGTCTACCAATTTACCTGAAAACACCGGAAAACACATATAGGAGGCTTAAATCTACCGGAATACACCCTGCATTGATGAGATAACAGCCCAAGTTGCTGTATTTTGGCATAAGATAACTAATACGTAGCCCAGGGAACAAGAAACCTTAAATAATGAATTGGCGGAGGCAAGGCTATAATATATACGTAGGTGGGATTCAGGGTTTACGGAAAAACCTGGGCTGTCTACCTTACCAGGCTACCTTACCAGTCTACCTTGCCTGTCTAGGACGTCAGGCTACTGAACTCCCCCCCATCCACAGCCTCACGAATAGCAAGACTTCCAAGCAGCTGCGCCCCCTGGCGGAATGCACCCACTACTTTGGCACGTGCGTGTGCACAAACCTTAGGCCTGTGCAGCATGGAGCCTGACTAATCGCGCTCCTCTGGTGTAACACAATCTAGAAATAAACTGAACAAGGGCTCACAGAGGGCTCGTAGAGGCACCTTTACAATAGATACGTAAAAAAGAAGAAAACACAAATTTAGCACAAATAAATATACGCTTTGTGCTAGTGACAATCATCGTCGACTCGGCGTGGTTACCCAAGTGATGTCAATGTGTCAGGAATGGGGTGTGAGTGAAGAGATGTCACACGTTGTGCGATAGCGATTCAGCCGCTTCAGCGATTCTTCATTTGAACGTTATTTTTCATAATTGTTGAAGGGTAAAACTTTTAACATCATGTCTTCTTTTTCACTTTTTTGGTTAATTCTGAAAAGATACTTTTACAGCACAGTACACGGCATAAATCTAGTTTTTAATAATTTTTTTGGAACTACATGTCCACAGTGGTACCGGCCGTGCGTACGTTTCAGACGTGAATATTTGTCTCACCATGGAGGTAGAAAGTGGTCTCACACAAGCCCAAAATCGGGGCGTACTTTTATCGGGATGCGTACAGTATTCGGGAATTTTCGGAGAAAGAGACAATCACATGGAAAATGGGGGGAGGGCCACCGAAAAATTGTTTGGGCCATTGAAAAAAAGGGAGGGCCATGGGAAATTTTTTTCCGGACCCTTTTTGCACCAGCCCGCCCCCCCCCCGGTAAATAGCGTACAGTCCCTGTAAGATTATCTACAGATGTGCGGCACAGACAATGCTGCCCCCGCACTTTATAGGTCAAAAGTTCACCCTGTTCTGATACAATACACACTCCGACCCGCGCGCTCTCAAAGTAACCACGAGATATCCTGTTACTGTTGATTACCCTTGGCTCATTAAAACTCAAGAAAAAAAAATAGAATAAAATATAATATCTTGTTCAGTTTATTTCTATTCGCCCCAGTAGATTTCTTGCTAATGACCCCCACCCACTTCGGGGCGGCCGCCCGCCAGGAGCGCGATTAGTCAGGCTATGTTGTTTTAACTCCATGCTGCACAGGCCTGTGCACACGCACGTGCCAAAGTAGTGGGTGCAATTCTGATGCATACCGCCAGGGAGCGCAGCTGCTTGGAAGTCTTGCTATTCGTGAGGCTGTGGATGGGGGGAGTTCAGTAGCCTGACGTCCTAGACAGGCAAGGTAGACTGGTAAGGTAGCCTGGTAAGGTAGACAGCCCAGGTTTTTCCGTAAACCCGTGGGATTCATAGTGATTTCTTGTTCCCTGGGTCACATATAAGTTATGTTAGGCCACACCAAGTAAATTTTATGGATGACGTCCGCGCGCGCATTGATTTTGGCCTGTTCCTAGAAAAAAAAAACAACAAGAAATTCCGCTTCCTGTAACTATGACCAAAGAGTCACGACAGTGCCGCAAATCGTCCGATTGACGTGAAACCCGTAACGCGAAATGGGTAAGCCTGAGGCTATTGACAGGATCGTCCTGTCAACAGCAGGAAATACTGCACTGCTGACAGGATCGTCCTGTCAATAGCAGAAAATACTGCACTGCTGACAGGACGATCCTGTCAATAGCAGAAAATATTGCACTGCTGACAGGACGATCCTGTCAATAACAGGAAATACTGCATTGCTGACAGGATCGTCCTGTCAGCAGTGCCATTTTTGGCACTATTGACAGGATTTTTTAAATCTTCCATTTTGGGCTCTATTGACATGATTTCTTCTTTGTTTTCATTTGTTTAACCAGTCATAAGGCATATGCTACTGTACTGCAGATTAGGCGTTTCACGATGGCGGCTATCATCACAGTAAATAAAATGGTAAAACAATGGTAACACAGTAAATAAAATAGTAAAACAAGCTAAAGCTAGTTACTGCCAGCAGAGCAGAAGCTTGAAGAAAACATGTCTGATTCTAAGAAGCTATGGGGTACCATCGGTGAAGTCCTTCCCAGGAAAAGCAATGTTGTCACCGAAGTCACTTACCTGGGCAGGGAAACATCTCAACAGTCTGTCCGACATTGTCAAGGGCTTTAATGAGTTCTTCAGCACAATTGGGGGTAAGCTAGCTGAGTATTTCGGCTCTCACACGGCGGACCTCCAGTGCCCTGCACAATATGAGAACTTAGAAAGCACCTTTACCTTCACCCCGATAAGTGACCAAGCTGTGCTGACACAGCTTAAACACCTGCCAGTGAAGAAGGCCCCTGGCTTGGACAATATCCACCCCAGACTCCTGAAACATGCAGCTGAGGCTGTAACTAAACCCTTAACACACATATACAACCTGTCCCTCAATACTGGTATCATCCCACCCGAGTGGAAGTCAGCAAGAGTAACACCTATCCACAAAGGAGGGGATCAGTCTGATCCTAACAACTTCAGACCAATCTCAGTTCTACCAGTCATTATGAAGATCCTTGAGAGAGAGGTACATAAGCAGTTTCTGATTTACCTACAGGCACACAAGATACTTAACCCTAGCCAATCTGGCTTTAGACCACTACACTCAACAACTACCACATTAATTGATGTCACAGATTACATTTTAGATAACATTTCCAGTGGAAAACTAGTTGGTGCTGTG